GCTCTGTTTTTATGCTGTCTTTTATCTTGTTTTTAACTGATGTTTCAGCACTTTGTTTCAGCTATGGCTGTGTTAAAGTGCTTTATAAATAAAGTTGATGATGATGATGATGATAAGCACAAACGACAGTCAGAACCCATCCCCCCACACGTAGGCGGAGGGAGGCCACCCTCTCATTCACAGGGGTGAACCCCAATACACAGGCACCAAGATGGGGGACAATAAGTATACTCACTCCTGCTCGGCGCCTCTCACCAGGGGCAACTCCAGAGTGGAAGAGTGTCCAACCCCTCTCAAGGAAACTGGTTCCAGAGCCAGAGCTATGCGTAGTGGTGAGTCTGACTATTTCTAGCCGGAACCTCTCAACCTCACACACCAGCAAAGGCTCCTTCCCCACCAGAGAGATGACATTCCACGTCCCAGTAGCCAGCTTCCGTAGCCGAGGATCAGACCACCAGGGTCCTCGGCCACCACCCATCCCACATTGCACCCGACCCCTTTGGCCCCTCCCACAAGTGGTGAGTCCATGGGAAGGTCACCTAGGAACAACTTAGAGTTACCTTTTTGGCCTGTGGGACCCCGGAAGCAGCTGATGGGTACCGGCAGTCCAAGCGACATGCGGCTCGGGTGGTTGCTGAGGCAAAAACTCAGGCATGGGAGGAGTTTGGAGAGGCCCTGGAGAATGACTTCCGCATGGCTTCGAGGCGATTCTGGTCCACCATCCAGCATCTCAGGGGAGGAAAGCGGTACACCACCAACACTGTTTATAGTGGGGGTGGTGTGCTGCTGACCTCCACTCGGGATGTCGTGGGTCGATGGGCAGAATACTTTAAAGACCTCCTCAATCCCACCGGCACGTCTTCCACTAAGGAAGCGGAGCCTGGGGACTCTGGGTCAGGCCCTCCAATCTCTGGTGCTGAGGTCACCGAGGTGGTTAAAAAGCTCCTCGGTGGCAGGGCCCCAGGCGTGGATGAGATTTGCCCGAAGTTCCTTAAGGCTCTGGATGTTTTAGAGTTGTGTTGGCTTACGCGA